CATTCGTCGACAACCATCGCCCTGACCACACGCGTCCAATTATTCGTATTCCAAATTATACAGTCGTTGAAGATTCAGTTACATAATTAAATATGTTTTTAATTTCCGAGTGATTCATTTGCAAGCATCATGGTCCGAGCCCAAACAGTATATTTAAATGTCTATGATTCTCTACTTCAAGAAATTCCTGTTAGGGTTTAACGATAAGATGTGTTTAAACACAGTTCCACGACCATAATAACAATCAGAGGCGGTTGATGTTAAAACACGTGTTAAACTAAACGGTTTTTAAGTATTTTTTGTGATAATAAGACTATATTCTATTTTTATCCTTGATTTTATAATAGCTCTTAAAGTCATCTATAAGTTTTACAATTGCTTTGGGTGTAATTTTACTTTATAAAAACATTAGATAAGTATTTAAAAAAACACTTGTTTTTAAGCATATGAATAATCGTTACTACACTATTAATTCGCTAACAATGTATCTACATTCTACATTAAAATAAATATTAATTTTTGACGACAATTTTCATAATCCATCGCGACTCTTAATTCTTTAGTTAGTCTTATATTACAAGTAATTAATTTTAATTGTATATCTTAACAAATCAAAGACAAAACAAGTTTTTTAAAACGTTATCTATATATCTATTAGACAAGAGATTACATTTTAAAGTAGTGCAAAATTAACATCGTAACAAAATTTGTATCATTCGAGGAACGAACGATTTATAATCATGTAATAATTTTATGTACAAACATAATGATAAAGTTAGATATGTTCTTTCATATAGTTACAATGACTAGCAATATTCCTATACTACAAGCGTAATAATTAAAGCTGTATATAGTTCATACGAATTGAGATCGAATATTTCTATTGACTGAGAGCGCGCCGAGACCGGGGTCCGAAGATGGCCGCACGCGCTCCCAGGGTGCCGGCTACCTCTTAGCCTTACAATACTGACACAGAAGCACCTTCTTGAAAGCTTGTCGAAACACTTTGTTAAATATCGTATAGAATATCGGATTCACCATAGAACTTGCATAACCCAACCATAGAACAAAATCAAACACCCAACTCGATATACGCTTCTCACATTCCGGGCAGATCGCAGGAACCATGTTGAGGATGAAGAATGGCGCCCATAATACTACAAACGTAAAGAATACGACACCGAGCACTTTAGTAGCCTTTTGTTCTAGTCGTAAAATTCTTCCGTGTCTAGATGAGTTTCTTGATATAACGCTTGAATTTCTCGAGTGATGTGTCCTGGGTGTTTGTCGCTGAGGACTAGGGTTAACAGATTGCTGAGCACGAGTGCTCGCTCTTTGCGGTCGAATATTTCTGATCGGAGTCGATAGGGTGGTTCGTGCACCGCCAAAACTGGAACCTCGTCTAAATCTTCTAGCTTCCTCCCAAGTCACCATGGATGAGGCGCCCCGACTGGACCGTCTGAAGACGGGAGTGCATGGATCATCAGGTTTTACGTTACCATTGCGAGGGAATTCATTGCAACCATCGATATCACCTCCAGATACTATTATAACCTCTGTCGTACGTCTAGGCGGTGTAGAATCACTACCGAAGTATGGACAAGTACACGGAGGTGGTAGTAGTAGTCCATCTTCAGAGCTTCTAGACTTCGCAGTTAACGCTGCTGGAGCTAATAGACCATCGTTGCCTTCGTCATCTGATGCACTTCTCGGTCTATTCAGAGGCGTATTCGGATCGACAGTTGCTGAAAGACGTCGTTTGTCCTGAAGCATCGATGAAGGAGAGCTCGAAGAGACGCTTAACGACCCGGGTGTCAACAATCCACCCCGATCCGTTACATTTGTTCTGAAAGATATGCTTCATTCAAAACTAAATTATAAATCAAACTACATCTACTTGAAAGATAGTTAAGAAGAACAAGTTATATATGACAGTGACTGTTGTAATGGTGTACTACGTGCGCTTGATAGAAATAAAGTAATAGTAAGCGAACATTTAAATTTTGAGGCAAACCAACAAATGCCAATTGTATACCCTCTGAATGAAGCTTTAGTTGCAGCCGAAGCTTCCAATCCACGAGAGAGGCGCAACATCTCTGCCCCAAAGTGATGCAGTGCGCTCATTGCTGACGGGGCGGGCTCGCTGTGCAACAACACATATATGGTCACTACACAACGACACAAGGAACAGGACAGGCGACAGTTTCAACAGACAACAAACACAATGTGACGATCTCCTTAATCTACAAATAACTTTCACAACTTAAAATGATACTAGCTCAAATAATATCAGGCATTTTGAAACGTGTGCTTCAATAACACTTGTTAAAGAACCATTAAATGTAATTAGAGTGCGCATGTTTGCACGTATATAGATGAGACATCATACTTTTGCTAGTTATGAAAAGCGCGCGCTTCAAACGCCTACAGTGGACCCTCAGTCAATGGTTACATCTAGATTTAATGAACTACATTGCAGTCATATAAAAATAAATATAAAACAAAACTCGACGCATATACTACACATTTCTTTTTGTACCAAGCAAACAAGAAGCTTCAGTCTAAAAGCTTTGTCTCCCTACAGTTTGCAGTGTTTTAATTCTTTTTTCTTTGTTGTTAGTTTTCAAACAGTTCTGAGACTTAAAACAAAGAACATCGTAGAAAGCGCTAAATGCGTAAATTAAACTTAACTGTTAAAGGTAAGAATTAGAAGAATGTTTAATATTTTAGAGATAGAAATAGCAAGAAATCAAGAAAATTCAAAACGTCGCTTGTATAGAACACGATTCCACGTTAGTAAATTTAGCTAACTAAAATGAATAAAGACAAATAATGTGCCTTCTTAATTATCAGGGATTGTTTTTACTCAGTTTTAAAGATCCCCAACTGCCGTAAATGCGCTTTTGTTATTGTCTTCTTTACAATAGATTCACTTGACTTGAAACATGCACATGCCTTCATTCTAATACTCTAAGCCTTACATTTAATTATCTAGATTATTGTAAAAAAGATATTATGAATGGACAAGATACGAAATGAGTATATTAGAGGAAGTTTGAGAGTAGCCCCAGTAGTAGAGAAGGTAAGGAGTAAAAGGTTAGCATAGTATGGGGAGTTACAAGGGGAACGTTGGTTATGAGTGTGGAAGGGTACACCGGTAGAGATAGACCTAGAACGAGATGGATGGAATGCGTGAAAGGTGACATGATCAGAAAGGGTGTGATGACTAAAATGACGTATGATAGAGTTATGTGGACAAAAACCAGTTGTGCCGACCCTACGAGAGTAGGATAAGGAGAAAGATGATGATTGTAAAAATTTATGTTTCAATATTTTTTTTATATTCTAAGTATAATATAATCATGCACATGCAAAACTATAGTTGTTTTAAAGTGAATCTATGCTATCATTTGTATTGAATGTTTGAATTGTTAATACTATGGTAAAGCTATCAAAACTTATAATAAACCTGAAAAAGTATCAATCAGTTGTTTTAATAATAAATGTCATGTAATATTGACAATATTGAAATATTCATTGAGAACTTTCGTCCGCAACTCCGTCGGCGTGAAATTAAAAAAAAAAAAACAAAAGCGAGTAGCCTACGTGTTCTTTCACTCTATCCTCTACGTCTATGTCAAATTTCGTCGAAATACCTTAGGCTATGTAAGCTGCAAACTCTAACAAACATCCATCCATCTAAAATTTCGCATTTATAATATTAGCATGATTTTAAAAGATTACTATTAAATCTATTTCATTGAAATACATAATGGTAGGAATAAAAAGTATTTATTCTACACCAAAATTCATGATCTAGGAAATGAATAATAGTGTCATGTTGGCTTAACATATTCGAGCAGAAACCGGAAGTTGCGGGCAAGTACATTTGCGTGCACCATGCATTGCCTCGTTTTATAACTATTCAAACTTTAACCGTTAAAACTTTATCATCGAAAGTTTTGTTCCAATTTTTTAGTTAAACACTAGTTTTGGAATAGAGCAATTACGATAAACTATAAAAAATACAAAAACTGTAAATAAAAACAAACATTTATATTTCAATATTATCTTGTTTAAATAAAAGGCTTACGTTGTTCAAACGAAAGATACAAAGAAATAACATTAACTCGACATTAATTTCCTTTAAGCGATATTCATTTTAAATTCATTTTTCGTGCAACTGGCCGCGCCACTTGATTATGCCTTTTATTTGGAGTCATACGACTCAAATAAAAGCTATAACATGCGTCATAAGTCGCGCGGCTAGCAGCTTTGTACAATACACTTACCTTGTATCTTGTAGCCAAAGATCCCTTGTGTCTATTGGCGGAAGTTCTGTTTCAGTAGAGGCAGCTGAGTGCTGCGGTGTACCACCTCTAGGAGCCAGAAACCTTCTCCACGTACAACGACGATCTATTCAATATAAAGATTTATTAAAAACATAAAAATGGAAATAGGAAGCAGAGTAATTAGGAAACCAAACAATGATATGGACGTCTTATTTTAGAGAAGAATAGTATTTATCAAGCATGATGTGAATGTGAAGGAAAGAAAAAATGAATAGTGATGGGATAAAAAATAATAAAAATCATTATTAAAATCTACTATGATGGTAGCACAGACGACAAAAGAAATACAGTTAGCAACTGTCCCTAACAAAATACCGATTGTAGGCGCACCAAGCCAGCCGGTCGCCCAGCCAGGGCCGAGTCCTTTGCGTTGTCTGGCTAGTAGGCGCACAGTCAGCGCATACGTGAGCAGCATCACGCCCAGTGGAATGTAGAATGATATCACTGATCCGATCGCTTTGTACAACGGATCAGGTATCTGGCATGAACCACCGATCAATACCGACTCTTCATTCTGTGAATAAAAACTGGATGAGACCAAGGTTAAACTGCAATGGAAACTTTAAAAATTTTTGCTCATTATAAGATACTAGCTTTCGCTCGCGACTCCATCCACGCGGAATTAAAAAAACAACAAAAGTGAGTAGTCTATGTGTTCTTCTAGACTATACTCTACATCTGTACCAAATTTCATCGAAATCCGTTCAACCGTTAAGGCTACAAACTCTAACAAACATCCATCCATCTAAACTTTCGCATTTATAATATTAGTATGAAGTATGATTAATCAACACATACCTTAGAATACATGAGACTTAAAGGTAGACTCATAGCAGTAGACAAAATCCATACAAAGACGATCTTTATTGTTACTCTTTTTCTTGTCTTGTTTCTTCCAAATCGCATCGGATATCTCAGTGAAAGGTATCTAAAAGAACCATCACTATTAATAATTCAGATATTATTATTATCAGTATTACACTATTACTATTAGGTTCTTTATACAATACTCAGAATTGAAAACTTGTGAAATGAATGACGGAAAAGTAAGATCTGGAAGGATTCAGTACCATTTCATGAATATAACATGGTTTGATATGAAAATAACTTATAGGTTTTTTCATATTGAACTACAATATGAAAAAAAAAACGAGAAAAAATACTTTACCTCTATAAAACGGGATGAAAAGTAACATTCAAATGTCAATTTTAATTATTACATTCGAATTCGTATCGAGAATATCTGGCAGTTGATTGGGAATCGCATTGAAATATGCGAAACCGAAATTATCCAACACCAGAATAGACCAAGGTCGGAAATTGTCATAGTGCTTTAACTGACTTTTATGGAAATTATTCACAGAAATATAAACATAGGTTTTAAAGAAAATTTTGTAGAATATGACCGCCGCATACATTTTCATCATCATCATCACCAGCTCACTATACGTCCCCACCGAGGGGCTCGGAGCCTACCCTAAAGTTAGGGTGACTAGGCCATAGTCAACCACGCTGGCCAAGTGCGGGTTGGTTGACTTCACACATATCTTTCAATTTCTTCTCTGATATGTGCAGGCATCACGAAGTTTTCCTCCACCGTAAGAACGTCGGGTAAATTATGTATATATGAAAATTCGAAAAATCACATTGGTTCATGGCGGGATTCGAACCCAAGACATGTAGATTACAAGTCAAGTGCCTTAACCACTGAGAGACCGACGCTCATATAATTTAAATGACATTTATTAGGAACGATCATTTTACCTTTTTCATAGAAGGACATTAAAATCCCTACTAGTTAGGATAAGAAGATAAGGTAATGATGATTTTTTTTAAGAGTTGCCACCGTTTGCCTTGAAGAGGCATTTACAGATTGGAGTATGGATAGCTTATGTAAGAGGATATGCATAAGGCAGTGAATATGGTGGCGAATACAATACGGAAAATGGCAGGAAGATAAATACAACAGAACATTTATAATTATTAAAATTACCTGTCCACACTAATTGTACACAAATGCATGATAGATGCCGTGCAAAGTAGAACATCAAGGCATATCCACGTTAGGCAATATACCGCCGGGTAAGGAAAGTATCCTGTAAAATAAACGTTATTGATAATACAAATAAGTCATAATTTTGAGTAGCTTGTTAATGGATAACGAAAAACAATGTAACAGAAATCCCATGCTAGTATGATCAATACATCGAATTTTTTTAATTCAAAAAAATGAACTCTCTCTCTTCAATTAACTGTTAAGTGTTACAAATAAAAAGTAAATACAATAAATAAAGCTTTATTTTGTAAAGTGTTTTGTGAATTGGAAACCATTTAAATTCTGATAACGGATTTATTGTAACATTTTATGCGTAAATCCCGATACATTGTTTTAATTGAGCAGTCGATGTATTCAGTTAAAACTGTGCATGTAGGCAAAACTATAACTTGTAGTTCAACTTTTTATCTAACCATGCAGAGTAAAACTGAAGCTATAAAACCCTTACATTATAAAAAATAAATCACACGAATATAATTAGTATTAAATAGGAAAGATAAGATGAATGGATGTTTGTTAGATTTTGTACCGTAAACGGGTGAACGGTTTTCGGTGAAATTTGATATAGATGTTTTTTTTTTCAATTATATGAGGATGGGTTCGCGGGCGAAAGCTAGTTCACGATAAATATTTGTAGTCGGAATATGCCATAAGAAGTATTATTTATGAATAGACCGTAGTCTGATATAAATAATAGTAATGCTTGACCGGAAAAAGATGTCGGTATTTACAAAATATTGTCGGGCATAACAACGTAAAGCGTTTTGTTATATTTGATGGAGGTTCGTTGCTTCCAAGGACTATAAATCATGTGATTAGGATAAATAGCTTTTATATCTTAATAATTTTGTCAAAATGTCACGGTACATTTGTCCCATTAAAATCTTTTTTAGTTAAGTTTACCGAATACTGTGAAGAATATTATTTTTACTAATAAATAAAACTTTGCTCTCTTTGTACTTTTAGATTTTTTAACAAATATTTTCACAATAATAAACTCTTTTTTCGCTAGCCTGAATAGCCGCAAGAATTTTATTTATATGAGCAATGCTTGTACAATTTCACAGAGGCGACAAACTAAAAACAATTTTACTAAAAAAAATATGGAAACAGGTAAAGGTAAAGGTTAAAAGTTAATATAATATTCTAAGAAATTCTGATACTAATAACACAATGAAATCAGACACTAATTGCGATGCCATTTTTCACACCCACATTATGTTGACGCACCCAAAATTCTCTTTTACGGTGAACAGACAACTATAAAAATATCATATTACAAATGGCTCCCACTAAAATAATAATAATCAGAGATAGATTATTTATCGGTTTCTCAGCTTCATCTAACCATTAGTGCTTTTAGTTCGATAACTTGGACAGAAACTTCAAGCAAACCAGCATTAGTTGGCTAATTCAGAAGTTTTCACTTATTTTGTCATTACCTAGTGAATCATTAGTGTTAGGTTGAAAGTTTCGATGAAGTAAAACTCAATTTACGTAGTTGGAAATGCTTTACATGAATGTATCTAAAAACACTAATGAAAAGTTAAATATAGCTGGGAAACCGGTTATAAAACTATACTATTATAATAAAGCGTAAACACACACTTCTTTGTTGCCTAAGATGTCAGCTGTTACAGCATGTTTTTGAATAATTCTTATTTTAATGAAAAACCCTACACTTACGTCACGCTTTAGGCTATATATTTTCACGCCATTAAACTTAGGGGTAAATGTTTTGGATAAAAACCCTAATGTGGGAAAAGATACCATAAGTTGCTGCCAACATCAAGGAAGCAACATTGTCAAGTTTTGTCATGTAATGTTATTTTGACATTTGCAATTGACAATTTGACACATGAAATCGCACGGGAACAGGTAGTCTAAAATATTAGTTTAGTATATTTTTAGTTATATTAAACATCACTAAATTTTAATCCCGGTTTAAGACTTAAAATAAAAAAAAATCAGATGTTTGTTGAAGATGAGCTGCAATTGGCTGGGATATCTATTTATGTTCTTCATTCAAATTCAACAATACATTTGTTTCATTTTCAATATTAATTGTTCTTTATACGAAATGTTTAACCATGTACAAAATACTTTTAGTAAACGCAAATAATTCCCAGCTATAGTTAATTGCAGACTGAGAAATCCCTTGTCCCAATTTCCTCTATTGGATTTGCTGCAAAAGCTTTTTCCTTTCCAATTATCGCGAGATGCAGTTTCATTTTCATTTACTTCTACTTTACATTTTCAGTCAAATTTATGAAAATCACTTCTTTTCTTACCATTAAATATAATAGCCGACTCAGCGGTGAAAGAAAATGTAATTTAAAAACCCTTTTAAGAACTAATAAGAAAGCGGTAACCTATTAAAGGAATGAAGAACTAAATCGTTTATTTTGATGACTCATCTAAAAGACTAGAATCTCTAACTACATTAATATTATACGACTAATTATGATACGTAAGTAAATATTCTAGATTTACTGGAAATTCGAAACGTATCGAAAATGTTTGTGTTATATTGGTAATAAACTTTATTGACGTAATTGACATATCGAAGGCGTTCCTTTTTCATTTTACGTATTACATCGAATGTTTTATTGACAGGCCCAATAACATTCAGTTATAGTCAATGTTTTATACACATATGGACGTTGGTGGATCAGGGGTTAAGCATTTGATTTGTAATCTGCAGGTCCTAAGTTCGAATCCCACTTTGTACAAATGTCTTAAATAGACTCAATGTTCTCACGGTTAAGGAAATCATCGTGATGCAATCTTCTCATCTCTAAAAATAAATTCAAAGATATGTGTGAAGACAACAGCACTGGGCCAGCGTGGTTACCATTCAATTTAGGAGCTCCTTAGATTGTGATAATTTTATACAAAATTTATTACTTAAATTTTAATCTTCATCAACCATAAGACTTCTAGTTTAATTTTTATAGGGGTAATAGTTTCTTGATACTCGAACTATATTATTTATTCAAAAGAATCTCTAATGACAGTAGTTAATATCACTGGTGTTAATTTCAATTCAAGGAAATTTAAAATATTTATGGAAACATTTTTAACTATAGATTGTGGCATTGGATCGAAGTCGTGCCCTTGACCGTCAGCGCTTAAAAGTCTATTTCCTTTTTAGCGCAGCCTGAGCTATATTGATTTAAAAATAAAATTAGAAATGTATGACATGATAGTAGAACATGAACAGAACAACATAAAACAGTAAATAACATATGACAATGATGAGAGAAGACAGCTTGATTTTGTAACCAAGCCATTATTTATTTAATTTTAATTAACTATTATGTATAAGGTTGAAAATAGACTATACTGGAATGGATCCTTGAATTACTAAGATATTAGTCACTAATAGCCATCACATGTGTTCATCATCTCCCCTGCCTTATCCAACTCACGTAGGGTCGTTGCACCGGGTTTTCGTCCTCCAAACCACTCTATCATCCGTCATCTCAGTCATCACACCCTTCTTGATCACGCCACCTTTCACGCAATCCATCAATCACTTTCTAGGTCTACCTCTACCTTTTTTCACATCATAACATGTGCTGTTAAAAAAAAAAAGTTTAACTAACATTGTTAACACCACTAAAAAAAATCTGTAGAGTGTTTAAATTAAATATGGAACTGACAAATAGACTTAGAAATACATCTAAAGGATTTTTGAATAAGTGTTAATGTTACACAGTAAAGGAAGCAGGAATAACACTAAAGGAAAAGAACACATTGCCTAGAGTGGGTATTACTAGTATGGCTTAGTATTAAAAGTACCAATTGTTGTTTGTTTTAAGTTAGTAATAGCAATTGGAAAGGTTAAATATTTTAGTTTAAATTATTTTTATATCTAAAGTATTAAAATTTACACATAACTTACCTCTAACAAGGGTTAGTATACCAAGAGGCATTACAAGCACCGCCACCAATAAATCAGTTATAGCCAAAGACATAAGAAAGTAGTTAGTTACGTTCTGAAGCCGTCTTTCCAAGTAAATAGCTAAGCATACTAACACATTTCCCGCTGCAGTACAAACAACTAGTACTAAAGCAATCAAAGCCCACCAATTATTAACAGATTCCTTTTCAATAAACACAGTCACATTATCCAATCCGTTCAGTTCAGTAAAATTGTGATCGAGTGAATGATTTCTCGATGTCCAATAGAAATCGTCCGAGTCATTGTATTCATCGAATTGGGACAAAGTGACTCGATTTACGTATTCTAATTCATTCATTGTTGTCTTCATGGAATTTTACATCTTCTAAATTCATTTTTGATCGCCTTTTTATTTCATCTTATTTCGTAAATGTGACAAATGACATTCGGTGGATCCATTTTATTGGCCATCTTCGAACGAATTCATTACCTGTAACAATTAATTTTTATTTAAGTAATATTGAATTTACTCTATTTATCTTTATTTGAATATGATAAAATGCTTAAAAATTATCAAATTTCACATTTTAAATGTGAACATACTGATGGATGGATGGATGGTCCTAATATACGTACAGGACCATTCAATTGATATCATTAGTTTGTAGAGGAACACAGGATTCAGTTAGTAAATAGGTGTCTTAAAGCTAGGATATCATAATACTTATAAAACATTTCAAATTGGGTAAAATACGGTCAAAATTCTCGCACAGCTTCAAATATTTTTTACTAGCACATTAACATTTAACACAAATATAATGTTTACCGGATGTTTTATTGTGATCAGAAGACAACATATTATAAATCTGAGAAGCATTGTAAGTAAGAAACCATCTAATGCCACAGGGATACATTTAGACCAGATTGGTAATACAGTCAATATTAAGTTTGCCTAGGTCTCAGACATTGATATCTATTATTACTGATAAGTAAAGTTTTGCAACGTATTATTAATTAATATGTAGCCAGCCATTGTAATATCTCACTTTGTTGCATACATCGTGCCTACGTCAGTCAAATCGATACTGCTCAGTATCGCCCACGTCTCTATTGTTAGACCGCTCTGTATTCGAGTATTTTTACCCGCTACCATTTATAGTGCACTAAACGCCAATCCAATTCTATTGAGTGCCTGCGCTGGTTTTTTTTTTAATTTCATTTTAAAAAGATTTATGGATATATTTGTATATTTTTCGGATACTATTGGCATTAAGCTACAAATGCGGCAACTTTACAATTAGTTTTTCGTCTAGGAACAGCGCCATCTGTTGGCACAAAAACAACTGTAATTGTAAGTATAGTCAGATAGGAGTTTAATTAATTGTCTTTTAGTTTTCAAGCTTCACGGCATAGTGATATCTAAGTTTAACATTTTACCAAATCGTGTTGGATTTGCGGCAGGTAATCGTTCGTGGCTTATCTTCATCGGACGTAACTAATGAATAGTCCGCTACGGAACATTTTGTATCTAAATTTGTGAAATATATACTTAAGTTGTATTTTTTTTCTCCTCTAAATTATTTGAATGAGTATGAGATTTATTACTAGTAACCAAATTAAAAATAAATTACGAAATGTAAGAGATTTTGTTTAGTTTTTTTTTTCTGAAAATTTTTTTAGACAAGAAAACTTTAACACAATCAGAAACTTACCGTATTGTTCTACAACTAATAAAATAAGTTTCAAAGTAAAAAAAAAATCGGTTGTAAAAAAAACTTTTTGATATTGACCTTTGACTCTTGAGGAAAATAAAAAATGAGTTCAATTAATGTGATAGAGAAAGTGCTCCTACACTTTCGCTTTAATTATGCGTTCATTTGCATAAGCCAAGCGACCTCTTTTTTCATGATTAACGAGAGTCCGTAACCTTGACTTTGTTTTATCGATAAAACTTCACAGGTAGAAAATGCCTTGACAATGACATTATAATAATAACCTTTAACAAAAGTTAATAAAAATGACGTTGGTTGTGAGTGGAAAGGTACACCGGTAGAGGTAGACCTAGAAAGAGATCGATGGACTGCATGAAAGGTGACATGATCAAGAAGGGACAGTGGTAGAGTCCGCTTTAACATCTTCCAATGGGTCGGCTCGCCGGGTGAATATTCTCTTTATGTGCGTCTCTTTCTCCGTTGATTAAGGGTAGGTAACGCATCAGCTATAGCGGATGTCTATTGGCAGCGGTCGCTTCAACATTTTGGCGGATTCAGGTTGCCGCTAGCTCGTTTGCCACCTTATGTTATAAAACAAAAGGGAGTGATGACTGAGATGACGGATGACAGAGTTATTTGGAGGAAGAAAACCCGGCCCGCCGACCCTACGGGAGTAGGATGAAGTAGGGGTGATGATAAACCATTACGAAAATTTGCATAATTGACTGCTAATGAAGTTGTAACAACAGATTGGTCTTTAAAAAAGTCCCAATTGACAATTCGTACGTATATCAAAAGAGATTCAACCGTCAAGACTACATATGGATTACAACGGACAGTTAGGTATAATCATTTTTGTTTTTTTTTTTTACTCGTCAGCCAAGCAATACAAATAAACATCAATTTCCTGTTCACCTTTAAACCCTGGTTTAATTAAAAAGTTTGGTCCTGTTGTTGTGAAAACATGTCTAATTTTCCTGTTAATTAAAAAAATAAAATAAGAATCAATCATTTTGTATCCTGTAGTTGTTTTAATAAATATATTTTAAACAATTATCTAAACGATCGCTGCAACACTCACCATTTTCTAATTAAACTTTAGCAAGAGTCAAGTGTAAATTGCTATTACGTATGCAGGCTGATGTCAAAGGAATGCGGCGGTGACATTTAACGTTCCAATTAATATCTAGGAGCTTTTAACTGTCTCATGTTTACTCGTCGTTATTGACTTAAATTAAGTTTAATGAAAATCGACTTGTACGGAAGCGGAAGCGTGCGGTTCAGGATATAAATTAACCTTATCTATACTAATATAATAAAGCGTAAACACACATTACTTCGTGGCGTAGGATGTCAACAATCACAGCATAATTTTGAATAATTCTATTCTTAATAAAAAGTCCTAGACTCATGCTTTGGGCTATATATTTTCACGCTATTAAACTTAGGGTGTAAATAAATTGAGAAAAAAAAAACTTCACGTGGGAAATAATAAACTACAAGCTGCCAACATTAAGGAAGCAAGGTTATTATGGTGACGGTAATTGAGAATGTGACAAATGTAAACAATAGAATAAAGTTTTTAAAATTTCACGCGGATGAAGCCGCACAAGAACAGCTAGTATTGAGATATGTCTGTTATTTTCACGCGAATTATTTGTTTCTTTAACAATGATACAGTATAAACAATTTGATAAGTTTTACCCGTGTGTTAAAGCTTCCTTGAAGACTTAAAGCTTTGAGTCTTTTTTAAATTCGTGACGATATTCCTGTAAATTATATTATTTATTTAATTTATTGAAAGATAATATCAAAACATTTTAAAGCCATAAAATTATTATTAAGTTATATTTTGTTTTATAAATGCAATTTAATTTCCTAACCGTTTTCAAACTAAAATATTTAGCCAGTAAATTCAAAGTTTCCTTTCGACCTTTAGTTAAAAGCCTAAAAAAGAAATGACAATGCAAACAGTTTTAAAAGCCCGTCTCTTTTTCATTAGCATGCTATTAAAGAGGTTTTAGCGTTCTTATAAGATTCCACTGTTTATCTTTATAAAAGAGCCGTAAAATTTAGGAGCATTTTAATGAGAATAACATTGTTTTTCTTGTCGCGTAAAGTAAATCCACAATTGATTTGTTTAAGCAATTTTTTTTCGAATTATTCTAAACTAGCTTTCGCAGTGATTCCATCCGCGTTGAATTAAATAAAACAAAAGTAAACAACCTTCCAGACCCTCGACATTTTACGTTTAAAAAACATCCATCCATCCATCTAAACTTTCGCATTTATATTAAGTACTAGCTGTTCCCGTGCGGCTTCATCCGCATGAAATTATGAAAATTTTATTTTATTGTTCACATTTGTCAAATTATCAATAGCAAATGTCAAAATGACATGACACGACAAACCTTAGCAATCTTGCTTTCTTAATGTTGGCAGCAACTTATGGGGTCTTTCTCACATTAGGGTTTTATCCAATATATTTACCCCCTAAGTTTAATGGCGTGAAAATATGTAGCCTACAGCGTGACGTAAGTGTAGGACTTTTCATTAAAAAAAGAATTATTCATAAATATGCTGTAATTGCTGACATCTTAGGCAACAAAGAAGCGTGTGTTTACGCTTTATTAAGATTTAGTAAGATTAGTAAGATTGTATCTATACTTTTAGTTCCATCAATTGCAATTTTTTAATAAATCTAGTACGTTGAACCAAAATTATTTAATGAACTTACCTTTACCAAAAAACTTAGATAGTGTTTCAAGTACATTTTAGCTTAATGCGTCAACTTGTTTATGTTACTTGAACATGTTTTGTGACAAAACATTGTCACCATTCTTAGGTATGCATAGACTACGAAACGTGATATTGAACAATAAATAATAGAGTACTCATACCGAAAGTAGTGTGGTGATACATTTTTAAACAAAAAACTACGTCGATGTACATATCAGTCATAGGCTGCCAGTCATAGCTGAAGAATTAAAGCACTTGTTTAAACCGTATTTTTAATTAATAATTTTATTGTAAATTGTAATTGTTATGGACTCATTTGTATATATAGATTTACATTTTGTTATCGACGGCGACCATTACGTAATATATTTCCATGAATAAGCCTGTCCATTTGATTTGGTTCATAGATAATTCTAGAATAGTTCCTTCGAGTTTAAGCGGAAGCTGCGATACAATACCATTTTAGACGAGACAGTAGAACAATATATGCAATTCAGGTAACTTTCATATGGTTTATAGGACTTTTAGACAGTAAAGGAATTAAAAAAAAATCTCATTCACCTTTTCAAACTCAAAGAACAATAAAGCATTAGAAGGGTTGAGGTTAGAATCATGACTAAGAAGTTTTTCATTCAAAAAAGGGTCAAACAAAAGCGGGCAAAAATTTATTTCATTAATAAAACCTAATTCAAAAAACGGAAAAAAGAGCACAGATGAAGATGAATTGCCAGGAAATATTCCGTTGAAAGTAAGACGCTCATTAGAAGCTTTTTATACATTAAAATGACTAACGACTCTTGAACTGGAATACTTAACACGCTCAATGCGTAACAGGCCGATATTGGCCTGCCGCTAAGCTAGTGCGGTTATGAAAACTATGTCCCTCTCTCTAGTCCGAAACGATTATCTCAGGAGTACATTACATTACATATAATACATTATGTTTCGACAATTATTATAGCAATTTAATTTATTCTGGTGCTGGTGGGTCTAAAAAGACCTGCCACGCACTGGCGTAAATACTATTGGGGGCGCATTT